CATGTAGGACCTCATTGATAAGGTTCATGAAGACCCCCGGAGCCCCTTGAAGGCCGAAGGGCATAACGAGGTACTCAAACTGCCCCAAAGGGGTAAGGACGTCCTTCTTCACCCAAAGAGTGATTAACACTTGGAATTCACTGCCACAGGAGGTGGTGGTGGCTACAAGCATGGACGGCTTCAAAAGGGAATTAGATAAGCATATGGAGCAGAGGTCCATCAGTGGCTATTAGCCACAAGGTATAGATAGGGACTCTGGGGCAAGTGATGCTCTGTCATCTTGGTGCTTTGGGGGGTCAACAGTGGGAGGGCTTCTAATGTCCTGGCCCCACTGGTGGACCTCCTGATGGCACTGGTATTTCTGGCCACTGTGTGATACAGAGTGTTGGACTGGATGGGCCACTGGCCTGATCCAACATTGGCATCTCTTATGTTCTTATGTTACCCCACCCTCCCGGCCAAAGCTGGCTCACGGCGGCTCTCATAAAAACAGGTAATTATATTAAAATATCATTGTGGTTAAAACAAGTATAAACAAATATAAAGTCATAATAAAGCACTAGTGGTTTTTAATAGTCATATGATGGTAGCAGCCAGTGTAGATCATTCTCCGCTCGCAGTCAGCTCTCTGTGTTAGTTGGATGTCCCTGCAGGGTTCACTGTTCTTTAAGGCAGTTGATGGCAGTTTTCAGGGTCCAGGGCCCTCTCCCTTTTACCAACCAATGTTGGTGGACCACTCTCTCCCCTTGAGGGCTCAGGGCAGTGAACAACATTTAATTAATTCATTTAGAATCAGACTGAAACAGTTAAAAACAATAAAACCAATACAGTTCAAAACTATTCCAGATGGTACAAAAGGCAAAGGTTTCCCTTGCTCGAAAGCTAGTCGAATTCGACTCTAGGGGGCGGTGCTCCTCTCCGTTTCCAAGCCAAAGAGCCAGCACTGTCCGAAGACGTTTCTGTGGTCATATGTCTGGCATGACTAAATGCTGAGGTGCATGGAATGCTGTTACCTTCCCACCAAAGCGGTACTTGCAATATCTTGCTGTCGAACTGCTAGGTTGGCAGGAGCTGAAACCAGAGACAGAAGCTCACTCCATCATGTGGCACACTTGGGTCTCGAACTGCCGAGCTACTGACCTTCCAGTCTGCAGCTAAGCGTCTTAACCACTGAGCTTGAAGCTAATTTATATCCTATTCCATAGCGGAGAAGAGAAATGGAGGAGGACAGGCTTGATGACAAACCCTTGTTGTCTTCTACCACAGGCCTGGTGGAACATCTGGTGGAACTGCACTAGGCCCTGCAGGGCACGGATGTCATTAGGCAGAGAGTTCCATCAGGCTGGTGCTGAGGCCGAGAAGGACCACTGGGTATCTTTCGGGCAGCATCATACATTATCCTTAAATCCACCTCCTGGACCTGCTGCCACAATCCCAAACACAAACACAAAGCAAGACTCAATTCAGTCAGCTGTGAAGACTATAATGTGCATGGAAACTGTGTGGACAGTGCCCTGACCTGGATAGCCCAGGCAAGCCCAGTCTCATTAAATCTTGGAAGCTAAGCAGGGCCGACCCTGGCAAGTCCTTGGATGGGAGACCTCCAGAGAATACCAGGGCTGGGAGGCTATCAAGCCACTTCTCTGAACTTCCTCCGTGCCCCATTAGGAGTCACCAGAGGTTGCCATGTCTTCCAGGCAAGGGCAGAAACATGCGCACGCACACATACACACACAAATTAAAAAATACAAAAAAAGAAGGAACCTCATGAATAGCAACTGTGTGCCCATGAGTGGCCATTGCTATGTTCTTCCTCCCTTGTTATATAGGCTTTCCTGAAGGCATTGGAGAGACCTCTGTGGAAAACTGGATAGAGGTGGGTTGTATTTATGGCCGCAGAGACACCAAAACTCCTTGCCTAAGGGGAGATGGGTCTACCTCTTCTGTAGCGCAACCCACCTGGTTTGTGTTTGGTTGGCAGCAGTCGGTCCAGAGAGAAGGGTGAAACCTGCTGCTGTGTTGGATCCCCAAGCATCGAGAATAAATCCACGTTTTAAGAAGCATCGAGAATAAATCCACGTTTTAAGAAAAGCAAAATTTATTTCAAAGCGTTGACGACATACTCAAACACGTTCTTTGTTAGAACTGGGGATACACAGTTAGATCAAGCATAATAAAGGAACTTCAAAAAGATACAGGTCCAATGAATAACTTTCCCGCTGGCGGGCTAATGGAACGGTTGCGCGCCCAGTCCATGGGAACCAGGCAGGATATTAGACATAACACAGGTGCAGTAGTCATGGGAAAAGCAATAGCCAAGCATTACAGCATCTTCTCCCCCACACAACCTCCAGCAGTTATCTTTTGCATTCCAACGCAGGAGCAGGATGATAGAAACCAAGCCGGGTGCAACAGGGAAAGAATATGTACACAGAGGTCACAGAAAACAGAATGGCAGGTTGACGACACCCTCATAAGCCGTCAATAGCTGAACCATTGCATTGCCTCCTCAACAAGGGGGCGAAGTGGGAATGGCGCCCTCAGCACGACCAGGCTTTTACCGCCATTAAATCGCTGTTGTCATCCGAGGCGGTCCTTACCCACAATGACGAGGCCAAGCAACTGGGTTTGGCGGCGGACGCATCTCCCTATGGGGTGGGGGCAGTGTTGAGCCATATACTGGCTAACGGCAGGGAGGCACCTATTGCCTATTACTCTCGGATACTGGCCAGGGTGGCCAAGAGGAACTATGCCCAAATTGACAAGGAGGGTTTGGCGCTAGTGGCTGGCGTAAAAAAGTTCCATGACTTTTTGTATGGCAGACTGTTCGTTACGGCCACGGACTACAAACCCTTCCTTGGAATCTTTGCACCGGACCGCCAGACACCCCACGTCTTGTCTGCGTGGATGTTATGATGGATAGTATTTTTATCTGCCTATGACTATGTCCTAGAGCACCGGCCAGGAAAGAACATGGGGCATGCCGACGCCCTCAGCCACTGCCCCCTGCCAGAACTGGACAATGACCCTGCACCGGCTTACAAGGTGATGCCCCTCGGGGAACTGGCCAAACCTCCGGTGCATGCATCGAACATTGCGACCGCCTCCACCCGGGACCCCACTATCGCCAGGGTTCTTAACTGGGTGTGGAGGGGGTGGCTGGTGGGGCGTGTCGATGATTGCTTTAAGCCGTTTGCATCACGGCAAAATGAATTGTCTATGCACTGGGGATGTTTGCTATGGGGCAACAGGGTGGTGGTTCCCCCAAAGCTAAGGGAACAAGTCTTAGAGGCTCTGCACGAATGCCACCCCGGCATCGTGTGCATGAAGGGACTGGCCAGAGGGTATTTCTGGTGGCCAAAGATCAACGCAGACACGTTAACAGTCATTAATGTTTCGCGTAAACTGTTTGCAGTGAACGGGGTGCCAGACACTCTGGTGTCTGACAATTGGACATGCTTCACAGCCATTGAATTCAAAGACTTTTTGGCAGCAAACCTCATTGCCCATAGCACGTCCGCACCATTCCACCCGGCAGCAAACGGGCAAGCCGAAAGAATGGTGCGGACCACAAAGGAGACTTTGGGTCATTTGGTGCAGGGAAACTGGGGCCAGAAAGTGGTGTCTTTCTTACTGCACCAATACATCACGCCGCACTCTGTGACGGGGCGGAGTCTGGCAGAGCTGCTAATGGGCCGACGCCCACATTGCTAGATCGGATGCACTCGGACTTAACATCAGCCAGGCCACCGAACAGTGAGTCCACTGAACAACCCAGGGTGTTTGTTGAAGGTGAAAGTGTATGTGAGGAATTACGGTAGCGGACACAAGTGGTTACCAGGCACAGTAACCCATGTCCTCAGGTCCCCCCATTATACTGTAAAAGTAAATGATGGTTGAGTAAAGAAGCGTCATGTGGATCAGTTGCGCAAACAGTGGGCTGACTCAATCCCTGATTCCCTTCCCCAGGTGGCTGATGTACCTGACTCGGACAGTCAGGTAGAGTCTCCGGACTCCGAATGGGCTGAGGGCTTCCAAGCACTGGAACCCTCAGGCATAGTCGAGGGTGAGCAGAGCCACGACTATGGCAATCGGCCTCGGACACTCAGTCCCGTAAGGAATCAAACTGAGCTCACAGGGAGCCCGAAGCTCTTCCTCCTACCCCACCAACGGTAAATATCAGACAATCCCAACGGGTCAAGCAGCGTCCTGCTTACTTGAAAGATTACGACTGTTCAAGGGTTGTCTCAGGGGGGAGGATTGTTGTGTATGTAATATAATGTATGAAAGTATCGAGCTTGAGTCTGACAAGGTATTGTAAACTGACTTATCAGAACAAAGGAAGTTCTGGAGGGAAGCAAAATGATTGGTCTTTATGTACTGTATTTGATTGGACGTTAGCTGACATGTGGGCGTGGCTTGCCAAGCCTGGACTATTTAAAAAGGAGCCTGTTGCTCCATAGTTTGTCTCGTTCTGGTTCTTCTGACTTCGTGTTCAATAAAGCTGTTATCACTATTCACCTGCTGCCTCGAGTCTCGTATCTAACAACATGGAGTTCTGCATGCTTTCACTTGGAGCCTAAGGGCCAATCGCTTCTCAGGCTGTCTGAGGGTTGACAGTTGCCTGTTCGTGACAGGGAAACTCCCACCCCAAAACACCTGATGAACTGAGCCAAAAATTGAGTGGTGGGGGGTGGAGAGAAGTGAGATTACAGACATAGTGATGTCACTTCTGAATTACCAGCCATACCACTCTAGGAATTTTCTCTAATCTCCACGATTGTTACCGCAGAGATGGGCAAATTCCTAGAGAAGTGTGGGACCTGACTTCCAGGTGATTATGTGGAAGTGACATCACGCCATCAGCGATACTCCCCCTCTCCAGACTCCACCCCTCCCCCAAGAGCTCATTCTCTGTGCCATGTCGACACAAGGCTTGGAACTGGATGTTATCCACAGACTTTGAAAATGACGAAGGGAAATGAATGGGATCCACTTACCTCTTCAAGGTGCCTCTGACATCCTGGAAGGAAGAAAGAGAAAGAAAAGAAAACTCAGTGGCTGCTGTGGACCACAAAAGCGCAAGGGAGTTTTTTTTCTGCAGTGGGCTTATTTGGAAGACTCATGTTTCCTCATCCTCCATTTATCCCCTTTTCATCCTTTTCAATGTCCTCAGCACATTTCTTTTCAAACAATGCAATCCAAGTGTGTTAAGTACACCATCTGGATGGGAAAGGGCACATTTTCGAGGTTCCCCTCACATGAGTACCATTTGCCATCCGTCAGCCCAACAAGGCTGCTGTTTTCCCTGCTGTGCCACTAAAGTTTTTCAACTGCTAATTAATATCATGCAATAGCTTTCATTTTGAGAAAAAGGTCTCTAGCCCTTTTCATTGCAGAGATATAATGGGACGGGCCATGCAACAAAAAGTGCTAGCCACTTCTTTGAAGGAGTTACAGCTGGGTAGTCAGAGGAACTAGCAGACTGTGGCAATACATTGTTATGGGATTGTGCTATGGGGAGATAGCAGCTATCAATTCTTAGAAAGCCCTGCCGTGGCACAGCTGGGGGGGGTGTATTACAGTGGTAATGGCAGCTGATGGAGAAAACTGCACACAAAACTCTCATGTGGAGGCACTGCATTGCCAGAGCAAATGACTCTGCATTCATGGTGGTGATGACAGGCAGGGGAATGGAGAATCTTTGCCAGGTAGTTGAAGGCTACAGAAATCCCTTCAGGCCTACCTCACTTCACTCAAGGACTGGAGATTTGTCTTCTCAGTGTGGCCCTGTTTTCATCAGAAAAAGTTTGCAAACACTCTCCAGTTGAGGATGACTGAATATTTTCTACTAAATCTTACCTGCAGGAGTTCATTCACTGGTTGCTTATGCTTCTCCTCCATCTCCTGGATCAGTCTTTCGAGAGAGGAGAGTTCCTCAGAGAGTCTGGCCAGGTGCTCATCTGTTTTTCTGGCTACCTCCTTCTCCACCTCTTCTATCCGGGCCAGCAGTTCGTTTTCTTGTTCTTCCAGCATCTGGTGTAGTGTTCTGAACTCAGCCACTGTGTCTTGTCTTGTTGATACTGTTCTTTTCTACGGGAAGGAAGGAAGGCAGGAAGGAAGGATCTCCCACAAGTGGGTGGTTCCCACACCTTCACAGCTGGCTAGCGGGGAGAAAAATGGTGTTGACATCGTTCCATGTGTGCCCAAAGATGATGTCAGCGGAGACATCAAGGATGGTCTGGCATCTGGGCAAAACTCTATGGTCTCCAAAGAATAGTTGGGTACACATTTCTAAATGACTACATACACATATGCGAGCATTCCCAAGGGCGATTCCATTCCAGAGCCCAACATGCTGTTCGGTTATCAGTAGTTTTTCCACAGGATCACTTCACCTGTGCAAAATGCAGCAAAGACCAGCACAGGTTGAAGAGGGGATCTTAATCCTACCTTCTCTCAAGTTTTCCCAACAAAACTGCATTGTTTTACCATCTGCATTTTTTGTGTATATCATGCACCAATATGTGTGCGTGTGTGTAATTTTTTTTACCAAAAGAGTGAAGTGATAAATGCTTTAAAAACCCCTCCTCCTACTCCTCCTGATCCAGATTGCAGCTTCTGTGGCTATTGTAAAAGAAAAGAATCTTCATGAAAAGAGGAATACGACATGCAGTTTGGCCCTTAGAATGGCTTCTGATGACTATTTTCTGTGACTCTGTGACAGATATCTATTCTGAGGACTGGGACTACCTTGCAGTTTCGGACTCTTCCTGCATTTGTTTTCTGAGATATTAATCCCAGTTCTTGTTAACTTCAATCGGGGCACTTACAAGCAATTCTCTGCTTTCATCTTCAACGTCTTGTATATATTCCAGAATTTCCTCCCTCTCAGTCCTCAGAGTCTTCATGCACCTGAAGATTTTATCCTGAAGGGGGGAAAAATTAACAGACCTTCTGGATTAGTTCCTGTTTGTTTTGTTTTTAAGGTTTACTATGCATATGCATTAAAAAGTATAACATGAGAGAAAAAGAGAAATGGTTCATTGAAATGACACACTTGGCGCTGTTCCCTGCCCTGCAAGGTCTTGCGTATGAGTGTGTGTGGGCTCAGGTGGGGTGTCACCTGACGCTGCCACCACTCTGGATTTAGGTTCCCTTGAGAAGGCCCAGAGCACCCTCCAAAGACCTTCAGACCTCCCTTTAGGCCGAATAACAGGCGTGAGGACCAGGCAGAGTAAAACAAGGAAAAGGTTTATTTTATAGGAGGTCAAACAACAAGGTGCAGAATAATAACAGTAAGTGGGTGAAAAGAAAAGAAATAAAATGCCTTAACGCATCTAAATTTACTTTCCCTAGCTCACTATCTCAAGTGGCCTTACACTACTCACCCCTCCCTCAGGATGAGGGTTTTTCTCCTGCAGCAGCCTTCCTTCTGGCTCTGCCCTCTGGAAGAAAGAACAGCTCTTCCTGCTGCTCCAGAACTTTTATTCCCAGCCCTCTTCTTTTCCTATTGGTCCATTTTGGCTACAAAACCTCCCAGGGGCTTCTGGGAGTTGTAGGCCCAGCCTCACCTACTGCTAGCCAGCCTCCCTGGGCCTAGTAGGCCTCTGGTGGCACAGCCCAGATCATGACAGTGTGTTTTGGGGGGGAGGGTCCCTCAAATCTCTGAGAGCCGCTATATCAGGGGTCCTGTTGGCAAAAGCCTCTCCTTGCCACATAGAAGACAGAAGCCCAAACAGGATATGGCCGAAGTTGGCACAGGGCAAAGCCAAAGACCCTCTCTGAAAGCCAGCAAGCCTGGACATGTTCTAAGGACTGTCTCCCTGATGCCTTCAGCCATCGGACCCAGATGCTACAACCACGAACCTGCCATCATGCAAGAGCAATGCCTTAGGTTCAGCATCACAAAGGGCACCTATGTACCTGCATTTCAGCTCTATCAAACCTCTGGACGTTACCCTTGATACCAGAGCCAACATGGTCACCATCACTGTTCCTGTGTTAACCCAGCCATTAATGAAGTCAAGGCTCTTAATTGCCTAACCCCTCCACCAACACTTCATCCTCCATCGTCTCTGATCTCTTAAGGTCATCTCAACCCTTTCTTTCCTAGCGCTTCTCTGTGTACGTGTGTTTTAATAGTTTTACCAAGTAGTAGAATGTATTAGGGGCTTCTTCTTCAATAAATTCCATAAAAGATATTCCTGTCTCTTTTCTGTTGCTCCGAGTGGATGCTGACTCTGGTATAGCTGGAGTTTCGATCCCTAGCTTGCGCACCTATTAAGCAAATGGTCCCATAGCTAATTTCCCCATCATAACTCGAACTGGGAGCCAGGTTTTGTGGTGAACAGTCCCCAGTGTTTGGTTGTCTCTGGGCACCTTTGGAATTCTGACACAGGGAGGTGAGCACTCCCAGAATGCCTGAAAGAGGTGGAGCCAAAGCCCATAATGGCTGCCACAGGAAGCACAGAGAAACACATAAAAGAAGCCCAATAACATTGGAGCAGAGCAGTAATTTAAGAAATACACTGAGAAAGAGGAGTGAGAATGAAACAAACCGTGGAGGCGGCTGCTGCTGAAATGACGTTATTTTAATCTGCATAGTCAGTTGGAGCTTTAGTAGCCAATCAAAAGCCTTGTGGGGCAAGAGGCCCATCTGGCCCCACCCACTTCTAAAAACACTTGTAGGGCACCAAGACGCAAACGAATACCATGTTGGGGACCCCCTGCTCTATATGCTGATTGTATTTTCCCTCAGCTGTGGCTAAGAGCTGCATTGTTATACAAGAGACAAATTCTATTAAGCAAAAAGTGCAGGGGGGAAAGTGAAAAAACTGAGTGTGGTAGTGCCATGACCCCAACAGAATTAAATCTCCCCCCAGGTGTCCCCCCCCCACGAATCTCTTATGTAATGTGTAGTTTCTCCCTTGAGGCCTTCCATATCTCAAGTTTCTCCCTTGAGGCCTTCCATATCCCTGAGACTCCTGAATCGCATTGTATCTTACAAGGAGACTGAAAGGGCTACTAGAGCCAGTTGCAATCTGGATTTAAGTACACAGTGTAGGACTCAGGTCTCACGGGATTTGTTCAGAGCATTCCCAATTCCCAATCATTCTCAGACTCCTTCACGCACAGGGCTTGACTAACCACTGTGAACAGAGATCCCAGAGTTTTTTCCCCATGAAAAATGACTCACATGGAGTTGGAACCCCAATTCTGAACAAAGCCCCGATTTAACCTCTCTTCCCCTCCTGTGGCAGCCTCATTTGGAACCCCTGCAAGAAGGAGACCCTGTTCACAGGATTACTAGCACTGGACAGAACCCAAACTTAGAATGTCAAATCACACATTATGTGAGCTTCTGCAAGGTCTGGGAAGATGAATGATCTGTGGGTCCAGGTCGTTGCCATCCTGCTAAAGCGGGCAATGCCCGGGAACTCACCTGGGAGCTCCAAAATAATAAAAAAGCTCATGCTTTGCCATGGAGGAATGGCTAGGGTTGTCAGCCAGGAGCATTGGTGGGGTGGGGGCATTTGGGGGGTGAGTGGAGACTGTGCAAAGGGCCTTGCATGATGACATTCTCATCCCCCACCCCACCTGCTTTGTGTCCACTGCTCCACAGAGCAGAGGTAGCTGGGAAAGTGAAGGGGATGTATGCCTTCCCCCCCTTCCTTTCCCTAGCTATAGTGTTCCCCTCCCTGGGTAGGCCTGAGTGGGGGGGGGGCAAAGAAAGAAACTTTAAATGTGTTCTCAAATACCCCCCCCCCCGGCTGGCTTGGAGAAAGCATTTGTCTCTTTAAATATCATTATCAATGGCCCTGGTCACACGTAAAGGTTTGGCCCGGGAGAGGGACGGATTGGGGGCGCAGCAAACCGGCGCGATCTCACCGCAACATCTGGGAAGCGGTGTGCACCTGTCCCCGATCCATCCCAACCCCCGAAAAGGCGCAGCAAAAAAACACCACCTACTGAGGTGGTTCTTCCAGCGTGGCCGCATCAACGCCGGCCGTGGGATCGCCAGCACGTCCTTCTGCCGGTGCATCCCCGGCTCCTGGCTGAACTGCGCATGCTCAGACATGTGCAGTTCGGCAGTCTCCCGTTCCCCACCGTCGCTTTCCCCGGCATCTGATCATGCTGGGGAGGGAATGCGCTGCTGCTCAGGGGATCAATGTGATCCCGCCGCAGCGTGTTTCTTTTGGTGCGGCTCTGATTAGCTGCACTTTGCCCGGGTTTTTTCCTGCCGTGTGGCAGGGACCAATATCTGTTTTTACTACTTTTGTTTTTATTTCTGGCAGTCTTATTTAATGTTAATAAAAACAAATTTGCATATATTCCAGTAAAAACATGTGTGTAATATTTGTTCATGCCTTGCGGCTCTCAGACATCTGATGTTTCTTCTATATGGCTCTTACGTTAAGCGAGTTTGGCCACCCCTGCCATAGAGCTAAGTCAGACCAGTGGGGTTTGGAAGCTGCAACCTGGTGATTCCTCAACTAGCACATCGCATGACTCTCTGTTCCCCCTTCCTGTTTCTTTGGTCTAAGAAGGAGGGCTTGCTCTGCATGTTTCAGTCACACAGGGATGATTCCCAGGTGGGCTTTCAAGTGGCAGCTGACGTATTGGGGATCCTGGCAAGGGGCTTTCAAAGCAAGTGAAAAGCAGAGGTGGTTTGTCATTTGCCTTCCTCTGCTGTCTTTCTTGGAGTTCTCCCATCCAAGTACTAACCAGGGCTGAACCTGCTTAGGTCCTGAGATCTGATGAGGTCGGGTTTATGCCATGCCACCTTCACTCCCTGGGCTCCCATAATGGGTGGTAAATAACTTACTAAAGGGACATCACATTTCTCTCCAGGCCACTTGGCAACCATAAGAAGGATAGGAATGCGGCACTGAGACCAAGACTGACAAATAGGGGGGAACGAATGAGAAGGGAGGAGAGAGAAATGAAGGCATATCACGAAAGGAAAAGAGCCTTCCACTCTCTCCTGCTTCCTCTTCCAGGGCTGCTGTTGCATTGCTAAGCCTCTCTTCCCTTGTTTGGAGAGAGGGGGAATCCTTTAAGATCACCTTTAAGATCCACAAAGTTTGATTCCAGGTATAAGCTTTTCTGTGCATGTATACTTCCGGGGGGAGGGGGGGAGATTCTTCTGACAAGCCCTGCTCTGCCGTTTACTTTGAGACCTGATCACACACACACAGAGCATGTTAAAAAAGGAAGGGGGCAGGAAAGAGATGCATCTGGGATAAGGGGAATTAAAGGGAAATTATTTTGGCTTATTCTGAAAAAGGTTTTTTTTTAAGACTAGATTTCTTTGTGCCAATTTGGGATTTTAGGCCCCGGTCACATGAACGGTTTTGGGCCGGGAGAGGGACGGATCGGGGGCGCAGCAAATGGGCACGATCCCACCGCAACATCAGGGAAGCATTGCGCACCCGTCCCCAATCCGGCCCTTCACCCGAAAAGCCGCAGCAAAAATAAACCACCTACCTAGGTGGTTTTTCCAGCATGCCGCATCAAAGGCCGGCCGTGGGATCGCCGGCGCATTCTTTTGCTGGCGCATCCCCGGCTCCTGGCTGAACTGCGCACGCTCAGACACGCGCAGTTTGGCAGTCTCCCTTTCCTTACTGTCGCTTCCCCCGGCATCTGATCCTGCCGGGGAGAGAATGTGCCACGGCTCAGGGGATCAATGTGATCCCGCCGCCGTGTATTTCTTTTGGTGTGGCTTTATAAAGCCGCACTTTCGCCCGTTCCTTTCCCCCCCGTGTGGCAGGGACCTTATTTTCTTTCAAAAAGACCATGATTAGGAATTACAACACTTGAACTGGATTCCATGGGGGAATGACTGGAAGTAGATGGCTAAGTATTTCAAAATACATTTATGGTCCCGTATAATCCAACATGTGGTCTCCCTCTCTCCCCTTCCACC